ACACACACACACACACACACACACACACACACGGTACTGGTGGCTGACACAGCTTTCCCTAGGCAGCTTCTCTTTGGCCTCGGGACGAGAGCTGTCCGGGCATCACACACACACACACACACACACACACACACACCCTGCACGCTGTCTTCACCTTTCCTCCTGGCTTGTATCCTGATACCACCTCCCGAGCAGTAGCCCGGGGGTAGCCAGCTGGCTCCATGCAGAGCTGGGCATGAGGTAGTGGGTACAGGCTGCTCAGCCAGGGCAGATGGAGGGGCTTGGGGGTCAGGTGGCCTTGCGATCAGGTGGCGGTCGCATATCATGCCCACAGGGTAGTGGGCTGTCACTTCCGAGTCTTGGTTCCCTCAACCCGGTGGTGGCCACTCAGGGTTCCTGGGACCTGAGCACCCTCTTCCCATCTGTCACTCCATCTCTTCCCAGATTTTGGGGCCCAGACTTTGCCATGTTTGGGCCATTGCCAAAGTCTTCGCCCAAGTGGATGCTGAATTCCTAATTGGCTCCATGTTTTGCTGTAATCCTCAAACTTTTGCCACGGAGGTCCCTGTCTACCCCAACCCCAAGGTGGGGCTCCGTGAGCTCCACTTCCTGCCAGGGTTGACTCTGCCCAGGCCCAGCTGGGCCCCACAGAGGAGCTCGGACATGATGCGAAGTACCAGGTGCTGACTCGGTACGCGCCCTGCTCACTGGCCAGCTGCATCTCGCTGTGACTCCCTATCACTGCACCAGGCAGACCTGGGGCTCCTTCTCCTCTGCACAGGAAACAGGCTCGGAGTCAGGCGGCTGTGCCCCCAGCCAGGAGGGGGCAGCTGTGCCTGGGCTGAGTCTCCCCTCTTCCGCAGGTCACCATTGGAATGTCCCTGCTCTCTGGAGACCCCTGCTTCAAGACGTGAGTGCCAGCCAGGACACCTGGGGGGTCGGGAGCCTGGTCCTGGGTGTGATGGTTGGGGGACAGGGGCTCTTCCTTCCTCTAGGCTGTGGGGCTACCTGTTTTTATCCGTTCCTGAGATGGGACACCCCAGTCACACTTGCACCCTCCCCCAGGCCACCGTCTACTGCCAAGTCCATCTCCATCCCCGGCCAGGATGCCTCTCTGCAGCTGACGTGTAAAGGTGGTGGGACCAGCAGCGGTGGCAGCAGCAGCACCAACTCTCTCACAGGGTCTCGGCCTCCCAAGGTCCGGCCCACCATCCTGGGTTCAGGTACCATTGCCCGCCTGCCTGCCCCTCCCCTGCTAGTGGCCGCACTTCACAGCAGCACCCTGAGCAGGTGCTTAGGAGGGGAGGCTGCTGGCTGGCAGTGTGTGCTTCCGTTCAGGCCCCCGTTGCCCTGAGTCACAGCAGTTGCCCTCTGCCCACAGAGAAGACCCTCTAGCAGGGTGGGGGGGAGCAGGTGTTAGTATGGGAGCTTCCCCTGCAGACCAAGGGGAAGGACCACAGGCCCAGAGAGGATCTGAGTGCGCCAGGGAGGGCTTCCCTGAGCTGTGGCCTGGCCAGGCGGGCCGTCCTGGGAGCGCTTGCCTGCCCAGTTGCTGAGCTGGCCATTGTCCCTCTGCACTCAGTGTCCTCTGGAAAGGGAATTGCAGTGTAACTACACCCTGCTTTACTGCAGGGACTAGCTGAGCTTATTAAGTAAATTTACAGCCTGCCTGGGCTGGCTTTTATCACATTCTTATCACATTCTTATTTGTGCTGATGTTGTTATGGAAAAAACATTAGCACCCCTCTCTGGGAAGGAGTCCAAATCTCCGGAGGCAACAGTGCGGCCATGAGGAGAGGTGGTGCTGCCCATAGAGGAGGCCCTGGCCGGCCCCCAAGTGTTTGCTGTCCCTCGGTTGGGATCTGTCACTGCAGGGCTCAGGGTGCAGCAGGGCTCCAGGGGTGTGAGCCTCGGCCCCGCCCACACCCAGGGTGGGCGCAGAGCTAGGAGGTGGCCCCAAGCTAATCTGTGAGTGCAGGGTGTGTGTGTGTGTGCACACACACACACACACACACACACACACACCCCACCCCCTTCACAATAGTTAGCACTGCCCTCAGGTGCATACTTGTAAGTGAGGCTCAGGCAGGGGCCATGAGTTAGTGAATTCAGCCTGAATTACTTAGGGAGATCTTGTTATAAAAGAAAAAACAAGCAGGGCCAGGGATTTAGCTCAGTGGTTCCACCACCTATCTCACACATGCACAAGGACCAGAGTTCAATCCCTAGCACCCACACAGAAAAAAAAAGAAAAAGAAAAAACAAGCAATTAGGGTTACGCCTGTTCCCAGATCCTGAGAGCTGTGAAGGACCTCTGACCTCTTTCCCGCACACCCAGCCAGGCAAAGCCCAGAGCAGAAAGCTGGGGATTTTGCCCACTGCACTTGGAGGCTGCAGGCAGGAGCCAGAGTGTCCCAGCCATGCTGTGTTCTCCAGCTTCAGGGAAGAGAGAGGTCTGCGGACCAGGCCACCCACACAGATGGCGCCCTTGCAGTGCCTCTCACGGGCAGCACACAATTTGAGGTCCATTCACGCCCCACCATCTGCAGAGAGCTTGTTGGAGGCTTGAAGTGTCCCACCATCAGGGGATGCTCCTTGCTGGAGACAGGATGGCTGCGTCCTGCCTTCCCTCCTGTGTCGGGGGAGCCTAGGCCCTACCTGGTCCCCTGATGTCTCCTACTGAGAGTGCGAGTGCTGGGGAAGTGAGTGTGCCTGGAAGCTGTTAGCCTGGCCGCCTCCCCGCCTCTGCTCCACAGACCCAGGCTCATTGCAGCCTCAGGGCTTCTGCCTGTACTGTGGTCCTTCTTGGGAAGGCCTGTCTCCCTGATGTTACGGGGAAGCCCTTTCCCATCCCATCCGGTGGGCCCGCCTCAGGGTGTGCTGCCCTTCAGTGAGTGTAGCTCGCCTTCCACCTTCCTTGTAGCGAGCGCTCTCCTCTTGGCTGGCCTTTGACAGGTGCGCTCTTTGAGGAGGTCCCCACCCAAGTCTGGAATGAGTGACCCGGCTTCACAGGGTGATCTGGGCTCAGCACAGCTGCTGCTGCTGAGTTTCCCAATTTGTTGAATGGAGACGCAGAGTGCCCTGCAGGAAGCAGGCCAGAGGGAGGTGTGCAGGTGTGGGTGGGCACCTCTGGGTAACCTGTGTCCCTTTCCGCAGGGCTGCTGGAGGAGCCAGACCAGAACCTGTCCAGCCCAGAGGAGGTGCCACATTCCGGCCATTCCCGCAGCTCCAGCTATGCCAGCCAGCAGTCCAAGGTCTCTGGTGAGTGGCCTGGCCCTGGGCCCGCAGCCCCCCACTGCAGGGTGCCCAGAGCTGACGCTTCCTACTGTTGCTCACCCCCAGGCTACAGCACGGAGCACTCGTGCTCCTCCAGCCTGTCAGACCTCACACACCGCCGCAACACGTCCACCAGCAGCAGCACCTCGGGCGGCCCGGGCCCAGCCGTGGAGGGCCCCGAGGGCAGCGAGCGTGAGCACCGGCCCCCTGAAAAGCCACCAAGACCCCCTCGGCCTCTGCACCTGTCGGACCGCTCATTTCGGTGAGTCCCTGGCTCCCGGTGGGTTCCTCAGCCTGCCCTTCATCTGTTGCACAGAGTTAGATGATGACCATCATACGGGCGCAGCCCCCAGCCTGGCGTTCGTTTTGTGTCTCTGTGAAGCTCGTGATCTGTGGGCCTAACACACCTGGGGTTGAGCCTTGGCTCCACCACGTTCATGCTGTGTGGCTTGAGCAGGTTCCTTAACCTCCCGGTGCCCCCGTGCCCTCTTCCAACCAGGTGATGACAGCACCTGCACCCTAGAGTCTGGTGAGGGCCCATGAAGTACAGCACAGACCCGCACAGGACATTCTGAGTGCCGTGGGTACTGGGTTGTCACGGTCTGGTTGCTGTCCTGACCATCCCTGCCCTAGCAGGCGGAAGAAGGACTCGGTGGAGAGCCACCCGACCTGGGTGGACGACACCCGGATCGACGCGGACGACATCGTGGAGAAGATCATGCAGAGCCAGGACTTCACAGATGGCAGCAACACTGAGGGTGAGCTGCCCCCCGCTGACTGGAGCCGTGCCACCCGCTCCGGGCTGTCCCGCATCACTCAGCCTCCGTCCTGTGTCTCCACAGACAGCAACCTTCGGTTATTTGTGAGCCGGGACGGCTCGACGACGCTGAGTGGCATCCAGCTGGCCAACAGGTAGGAGCCGGAGGGTCAAGGGGCGGTGGTGGGAGCAGAGCCTGCAGTCCTCTGCCCGGCTTTGTGTGCCAGCTCTTGTCACTGCGGCAGGACCAGGGCCAGTCACATCTCTGAGCCTGTCCCATCTGTCCAGTAGGTGGGGTCCCCAGGACGGGGCTCAGCATCGCGCTGGGGCGTAGTGCGCGTTTACTGTGGGCCCTGCTTTCATTCTGCCTCCCGGGTCTACAAACTCCTAAGCCTGTGTTGGGCATGACTCCCTGTGGACCGAGTGAGGATTTATTGAGCACCTGCTGCACACCAGAGCTAGGTGCCAGGGACACAGCTGTGAACAGCACGGGTTTGTGCCACGTGACCCTTGTGGAGCAGCTGGCAGCAGTCTCCAGAGCCTCTGTCCAGCTTTCCTTTATGGTGCAGCGCACACTGCACCTTTTGGTTCACAGCCCTGCTCCCCTAGCCTGCCCTGCTGTGCTACTCTGCTGACCTCTTCTGGCCCAGGCGTGAAATTACACCTGTCTCCCAGCAGGCCTTCTGTGTGCCCTGGCTGAGTGGTCTGGGCTTCCTGGGAAGTAAAAACCCCTGGCTAGTTCCCTCTAAAAATGAGTGGGGCAAGAGCCCAGTCTGGTTGGCAGAAAGACCACGGCAGGATGGCATGCTGAACCCTAATGTTCCCTGCTGCTTCAGAGCAGGGCTGAGGCTCAGTACCCATCCACGGCTTCATGGGTGAGCCTGGCCTCAGCAGGGGAAGAACTGAATGGGCTCCTTGGCTTTCCACTGCCCTCTTGGGAACCTCGCAGTCCTGCCGGGTCTCAGTTTCTTCATCTATCAGATGGGGGCAGGACAGTCCTTCCCTGCCAGGGTTACCGTGGGGACGGGGTGGCACATCCGGGTGTATAAGCAGCTGATGCCGTGCAGGACTTGGACGCCAGACTGTCATTTAAACGTCTCTGTCATGCCAGGCAAGTGACTTAAGGTCTGAGTTTCAGTTTTAGCTTCCAGACAAAACAGGCTGCCTGTACAGTACTCTTAAGGTCCTGGCTGGGCACCGCCAAGTGCCCAGAGCATGGAGGACGACCGTGATCTGACTGTCCCCTGCAGGGTCTCCTCTGGGGTCTACGAGCCCGTCGTGATCGAGAGCCATTGAAGGCAGGTGTCAGGCTGGAGAGGGGCCGCCCTCAGGGCACCAGACCTGTGCCCTCCCGCGAGGAACCGTCTCCCTCAGGTCCGCGCTGCATCTCATCTGTGCCTGCTCTGCGCACTCCAGCCCACCCGTTCCTGAGCATCATTCCATGGTCCCCGTTATCCCAGGATCCTCCTGGCCACCAGGGCCCCCACCACTGTGAATACTCCTCCAAACCACTAGTGGGCCGGGTGGGTAGGCCCACGCTGAGGGCAGGACAGCGGCACAAGCCTGTGACCCCCAAGACATAGCAGCTCCTCAGTGTTTGGAGACACCTTCGGCTGTGGGGCTGCCCCTCCTGTGACCTCTGCACCCAGGAGTGCAAGCTTCGGCCAGGCACCAACAGGGCCGTGCTCCATCGTCCCAGCCTCAGAACTCTGCCACCACTGACCTTCTGCTTAGTGTTTCCGCTGTCCCTTCCTGTGTCCTAGGGGACCCGCAGGCAGCCTCCTCCTGGGAGCCTCAGCCCAGACTCACTCCAGGTTGCGCCTCCCTGCTTGCCCAGTGAATGTCCTCCTGCCGCCCCGGCAGCCTGCACTTTGCACACGTCCCCATCATAGCCCACACTGGCCCTGTGACCCCTCCCTGAAGCCTCCTGGGCACTGCCCGCTGTGCGGTGATGGGCCCAGGGTCTGCAGCCCGCCTGGAATTCGGGCTGCCTCTGCCCCTGCCTCAGCCAGCTCACCTAACCATGGTGGGAAAGCACCTGGTGTCACAGTGTCCCTGCCCAGGGCTGGCTCCCGAGCAGCTGCTTCTCCACAGGAAGGACGGCCCAGCAGGGCTGGTCGAGCAGAGCACCTCTCTGTGCCCTCAGGACTGTGGCCCAGCTCAGGCCAAGGCTGGGGCAGCTGGTGGGCTGTGGCTGGACTGGCCTGAAGCTGGCTTCCTGCCTGACAAGTCTCAGCCCCTCTCTGGAAGCACCTGGCTGCTGGGCGGGCAGGGTTGGCCCCTAGGGCGCTTTCCCAGCGGGGAGCATTTCGGCTCCCCTTGTCCCACCCCAGCCTCTGCTCTCAGCACTTTGATCCCAGTCCTCAGAATTTGCTTGAAGGAGGGTCTGGCTGCACCAGGCTCAAGTTCCCCCATCCTTTTAAGTTTCCCCCGTTTTGTATAAACCCAGCTGGCTGGTGTTTACCTAGGTCTGTAGGTTCTTTCTTTTTGCTTTTCTCCTCTTTTTTTTTTTTAAGTTCACAGTTCAGTATTCCTTCCTCCTGTGCTGGGAGGAGGCGCCTCTGTTCTCACCCTCTGCCAGCTGCGCCCCAGAAGTGCTGGGAACCTAGATGGGCCAGGAAGCTGGTGGAGTACCCTCACCAGGCAGGGGGTTCCTCCCAACCCTGCCCTGGCCCGGCGGGCAACGGTGGGCTGCTGGGTGGTGGAACTCCCTGGTGTTGGGACCAGAGCATGTGTAAGGCTATTGTCTTTGTCGTCATTCACCTGGTAATTTAGAAAGTGAATGTTAGAAGGTGCCTGCGAGGCAGGACAGAACATGGGCTCTGGCCAGCTTGGAGTATCCCTTCCCGCCCAGCAGAATCCTGGCGCTTTAAAAGGAAGCTGGCCGTTCTCTCCCTAGACAAGGTATCCTCTAGAAGATGGGTGCCCTTCCCTTCTGTGGCTCTGACCTCACCCCACCCAGGGAGGTGGTGGTTAGAGTATAATGGGGCTTTGTGCATTGTTAGGGAGACCCCAGAACCAGGAGCCCCAGCCCACGCATTGAAGTGTGAGCTTGAGTCACCCGAAAGCAGCGGCCTGCCGCATCCTCCCGCGCCAGGCCCCAGGCCAGGGTAACCGGCCTGAGAATCTGACCATAACCAAATGAATGCTGGCCGGACCCAGGGCCCCGAAGTGGTGGTCTTGTCCCCACGTGGGAGCCCTTTTTCCAGCCTGCAGAACCTCTTGAGCTCAGTGAATTTCTCCCAGGTCCCCCTACATGTGGACTTCAAATTCTATGTAGAGAAAGATAGGATATATTAGAGATATTTTTGGAAAGGAATTGGTCTATGCAATGCCAGTTTGAAATCCTCTTGAAAGACAGTTTTAACGTTTTTACTAGATTTAAAATAAAGGTCTACAATATTTTTAGATTTGTTTTTCCCGTCACCCTGTAACTGATCCCATGGCATGACCTGCCAGGAGGCGAATGCCGTTTGCCTGTCTGTAGGGAGGTGATGGAGGGGGTCGTTTTTCTTTTAATCTCCTCCTTTCTAATAGAACGTTGCCACCAATACATCCCATCCCACAGGCTGTATTTGTATCTGTCCCGGCTTCTCTCCTAGGAAGTAACATTGTAAGGGGAAATCAGCCTAGCGTCCATGTCTTGGTTTGGGGGAGAAATTAAATGTTGCAGTTTTTGTTTATTGTGCTGTTCTGTTTTTTTGGTTTTTTTTTTTTTTTTTTTT